AAAGCAGAGGTCCTGGTAGATTAAGTTACCATGTGAATGGCACATTTTTACTGTTTACCAACAAGTTTTTGAGATAAAATGAGTATGATAACTTTATAGACCACCTTATGGGCTGCAGTGTTTCTAATACGCATTTTAAATGTGTACGTTATTCATACTTCTTGCCTTCCTTTTAACTCTCAGCAGCTACCAAAACAACACAGCATCACCAGTGCAGACCAGCAAATCTAGCTTGACCTAAAGCATTTTTAGCAGTATTGTCAGTAAATGCACTTGTGTTCTAGTACAATTCTTTTTCTCTGTCTGGCCCTAAAAGTCCACTGTCAGCAGGCATTGTTACGACTGGGGAAATTGACTTTCAGTTCTGGTTTGGTCTCCACCAGTTTCGGAGAAAGATGTGTCTTATGAGGTGCCAGATGGCGTCCATGTGAGGTTAACCTTGAGCACTAAATAGACCAATCACCAACACACCACAGCTGGTATTTTAATGAAGGGATCATTCAGTGTACAACATAAGTGACTGTGTTGACACCTGCAATGTCACTGAAATGCCAAATGATTCCTAATGAGCTATACAGGTAGAAACCCAATGCAACAAGAGTGAAAACACCTATGATCAGCGAAACAAAATTGTGTGCACCTGTGATTTTCAATTAGCCTAATTGTATGAATGTGATTATAGAATAACACATTACATTGTTGTTACATATCTATACATTGTTGCTAAGTTCTGACACCAGAACTTCATCAGTTTTGGACCTATGGGATTTGTTTACCAGCATATTTGCATCTTGTTTCCACATAGAAAGGTCTGTTTGAACCTGGCCAGGACTACCACAGTGAATGTGTAGTGGTGGGAGTGTGATGATCTGGGGCTGCATTAGTGCCATAAGTGTTGGGGATATCACCATCATAGATTCACCATGAATGTCTGTGGATGTGCCAAAAAACAAACTGGCTGATAAGATGACTCCCAGTCTGCTCAAGCTTGGTAAAGTAGAATTGCATAAGAACGTAGCGAAAACACTACCAGATTCTAAAGACATACGTTTAGAACCGTGACCTCACCAAGTATGTCACCTGACATGAATCCAGTAGCACTTTTGGAGCATTTTATCGGGAGCAGGTTAAGTCTTTTATCAAAAAAGGTGGAATAAAATCTCAATGATGAGATTTGTACTGACTTGCTGCATTGAGTATAGGGCTTGTGTTCATAATATAGTAAATCTGAACAGTCAGTTACATTTTACTTTCATGAAAAAGCTTTTTCAGTGTCTGTAGCTTTAAATGCAGCTGACCTGCTGCTGCTCCCACTACTTCTTTTTTAAACTGGATTAAGAGGTCTGAGTCCACTAAGGGGTTTTCTGTTGCTGGGACATTACCATCAAAAATACAGGTAATCCACTGGATTCTCAGTTCCTCAGATCATGGAAATGCACAAAGACCCTCTTGTTCACTCCTGCAGTCCACAACATGGTAATTAGCATGCTTTACTGAAGCATTTTAGAGTTAGCAGAGGCAGCTATTGAAAGTTAAAAAACAAAATACCTAGAGGACTGTATAGAAAGTCAATGGAAGCAGACGGAGATGTTCCAGCACGCCACACCTAAATTTAGAATAAAACAAAAGCCGATTCTATCTGCAGAAAGACTGAGAAGATGCAAAATCTCCCATCCCTTTATCCCTTTATACCTTTTCATTCAGTGTACACTAAAGGAATGGCAGTAGTTGGCATCTTGATATTTTCTTGAAAAATAAAAACGACCCATCCCTTATCTATACACTGCTCAGTCCTCTCGATGGTCACGGAGCCTATCTCAGCCGGCTCAGGGTGAAGGCAGGTTCACCTGCACAGGTAACCAGAGAGACAGACGACCAAGCACACGCACATTCACACCTACGGACAATTTAGAATCACCAATTAACCTCAACATGTTTCTGGACTATGGGAGGAAGCTGGAGAACCTGGAGAGAACCCACGCTGCACAGGGAGAACATGGAGACTCCACAGAAAGATCCCAGACGTCCTAATGGGATGAACCGGGGATCTTCTATCTGTGAGGCAACGGTGCTACCCACTGATCCACCTACAGCCCCATTTTTGAACATACATGTCCTTTATCTTCTGCCTTATTGATTTATATATTTTTAGTCCATTAAATTATTGGCAATCAATCAGTTTTCAATTAATTATCAACATCTTCCAACTC